CTCCCATGTCCCCTGCGGGGCTCCGTATTTAGGCGTGTGCACTTGGTCAAGACAATTTGACAAAAATTAAATTGGGCGTCTAAATGACAAAAGAAGATGAATTAAGGTAGCTTTGAACTTTGGCTGTTGGTGCCAGACGGGCTGGGAGCTTCTCCACACAGCCATGTCAGAGTTCGGTCTAAATAATAGAAAATATCTTGTAAGCGGTTCTTTGGGTAAAAATACACTTTTGATGTGAGAGGTCAGAGGAGAAAGGCCAGACTAGCTTTCATTGCAGTTGTCACGTTTGCTTGGCTGGAAAAAAAAAATGCTGGTTTGATTCGAGCTCAAATGCTGTTTGAGGTTGTGTCAGGAAAGGCATCCTGTGTAAAACCAAATCAAACTACTAACAACTAAACTAGTTGTGGTGGCCCCTTGTGTCACGGGAGAAGCTAAAAGCAGCCTCTTTATCTTCTTCGAGCTGATAGAAAAGCAATGGCAGTGATACGTCTCCTCGAGGGCAGGAGGGGATAACACAACAACTCCAGAAACTTTGTACAGGTGTTATGAAAAAGGTTTAATGGCAGCGCTCTCACAAAATAAATACCCCAAATTCAAACAACAAATGTGGGGGAGAAAGGGACAGTTAGGTTGTGCCAAAAAACACCAAAAAGACAAAACCAAAACTTAGCTGAGCTATTAAAGCAAAAACAAGAGGGAAAGACCCTAAACCTCAACTCAAAACGAGCTCTAAATTACATGGGTGGCACCAACCTACTTACCTAGTGTTTCTAACAAAAAGACTCTACGTGAGTAAGTGTATGGGGTCCCCAAACTTACTTAGTCCACTTTACTCCCACCACAATCATCAAACAAAAGAAGGACCGCAGAGAAACTTCACACATGTACCAAACAACTCAAAGGAGGGAAAAGAGCCCACCCCCAGCCACAGGTGAGTCTCCTTATCAAGGTGTGCACTCCTGGATTGTCCAATCAGGGTCTCCCTCCTCTAATTAGTTGGACGTCCCCAGATTGACATCAGCCTGCAGTCTGCGACCCAAGGGAACGGCAAACAAAAGGAGAGGGAAAGAAAACATGCAGCCTGCAGACACGTAACAGGCAGATACAGAAGAGTATCTCTGAACGCACAACATATCAAAGCATGAAGAAGATGGGCTTTGTCTGGTTAGTCTGCCTGATGGTGGATTAAGAATTTGGTTCAAATACATGAGATCCATCCTACCTTGTCTGCTGGTGGTGGTGTCATGGGGTGTGGGATATTTTATTGGGCCTCTTAGTGACCACATCCATTACATTTTAACCACAGTTTACCCATTGACTGATAGCTGCATCTACCAGGATAGTTGTCGTGGTCCCAGGCTTGCCCACAAAAAACTCACAACCCTAGGTCTGCACCCATGTGCCATGTCATGAAGCTCAAATCATCTGAAACTGGTTTCTTGAAGATGACAGCGCACTCACGGTACTCAAATGGCCTTCACATTCAAATGGAGAACCTTTGGGGCTTGATGGATGTGCAACCAACAAATCTGCAGCAACTATTTGATGTCAACATGGACCAAAACCTCCAGTATCTTGTTGAACCTGAGGCATGAGTGCTTGAGTCAGTTCTGAAGCCAGATTGATTCAACCTGGTGTGATCAAGGTATGGCTGATAAAGTGTCAGGTGACTGTGATGTTGGGGGGTCTGGAACCTCAGCTGTTTATCATTTCATTTTTTTAGAAATGGAAAATTTCCATTTTGCTTCCATTGCTTCTGAGTGAAGCAGGCTGTAGAGTCATGTGACTCGAGAATATATGGTAGTGAAAATGGAGTGATCGTTGTTGGTTGAGTTGAATCCATGTTACATCCTTGATGTTATCTATTTCTATACTCAGCTGCAGAGGTGTTGCTTGATGGGTGATTTTTAATCTACACGTTTAAGTGATCTGCATCTGTGTCTCTTACACTTCCTTTTACCCAAAAAGGCAAGTCACTACGACAGATCTGTTAAGACTGCCCTACTTATGAGTGTGGCAAAGCATTAAACTTTCAGATCACTTTTTAGAACGACAAAGAACATCATCACATCCAGAGTGAAGTCACCATGAAGGCCACAGTGGGACTGCTGCTTCTGCTGCTCACGGTTTATTGCTGGGCTGCTGGACGTAAGTCTGTCAGTCTGCATGTGGCAAAGGATAAATTACACCTGAGGCACTTTGATGTTTTTATTTCAATTTTTATCTAATTTAATAGTAAGCATCATAAATTGCATGACTTACAAGGTTTGCATTTGACTAAATTAACCTCAGATTAGTTATGATTTTTTGGTGTGCTGTTATTTTGAGTAAATGCATTTAAAAAGGTTGTTTTTTGGCTTTGGTTATAAAATATGCACGCGTAACAAAGATGCATTTGTACCACAGACATGACATTAGGTTTTCAGATGTCACTTTAACTCTGTAACATGTGGTCTATCTCAAGGATGAGGTTTTGCACGGTGTCAACTAAGATGGATTTTGCAGGGTTAGCTTGTTATCGTGAGTTGTACACTCATAACTAACATATTTTTTGTCCAGAGGCTTCTTAGCAGGTTAATCCAACCTGCTAAGATTCACATACTTTTAACATGAAGGATGCTGAGGTCACTGAATTGATGTGGCTCTTTTTCTTTCTTCCAGCTGAAGCATTGGATGAGACAGCTCCTGGAGAATGCTGTTTCCATTTCTTTACAGAACGCATACCACTGAAGAACATAGTCTCTGTCACCAAGACTCACAGCGGCTGTCTGGAAAAAGCATTTGTGTATGTCACCACAATGAGTAATTCGATTAATAATAACAGTTTCTGAACACAAAACAAATTGCACGAACATTTTATTGAGACACAGCGTAATATTTTCAGTACTAACTCTTTTGTAATATCCCTGCAGGATCCATACAGCCAGAGGAAAACGCTTCTGCGTGGGCCACAGTGTCACCTGGGCTCAAAATGCTTTTAACAAAGAGCAGAGCAGTGGCTAACAATGCCCTTCAGTGTCCACGATCAAGCATAATAACAGGCTCTGTTATGTTATTCTTCACTGCCAGCATTTTTTATAATGACTGTATTTTACACGACGCTTTGCAAAGCATAAATAAACCCATGTGCTCTTGATTTGCTTGCGATCCTCTCCAAGAATGTTTCAATAAAAAAAAAAACAAGCATCTGCAGTTGTGGTCAGAAGTTTCACGTTGATGATGAGTGTATGTTGTGTCACATTAATTTGGGGACTTTTAATTCTTTTTTTGAACTCGGGAATCTCAGGACGAGTGTACACGAAGTGTAAGTGTAAGAACATGCATGGATGTTTTTAACTTAGTGAAAGAGGTTTCATCGTGGGGAATTAAACATTAAGAAAGTTAGTGAATAGTTAATGAAGTATTAAAACCGCACAGGTCAGTCGATTGTCCCGGGTATGAAGTGAGAAAACATTTGAAAGGTTTGTCACAACATAGACAGACAGGCACTGATGTCAGGATATCCAGCTCCTACGATGAAGCCTGCCTTCCTCACAATTTTGTACAGGTGTGAAATGCCCCTCTTCTTCGTGCCGATAGAAAATCTGCAGCAGCGTTTTGCAGATGTTGAAGGACACCAGCCTTCTGAGGAAGTACAGTCTGCGCTGACTCCTGCAAGGCTTCTCTGCCTCACTGAGTTAGACTCTGAGTACCTTCTGCACTTGAGCTCCTGCTGATCACCAACTTTAAAAACTTTCTTCCTTTGGTTCAGAAGGTCCATAACGTTACCTGTGATCCAGGGCTTGTTGTTAGCATAGCAACAACAACATCCATACAGAAGTTCATGTTGTAATAATAATGGATACTTTATTGATCCCCGTGGGGAAATTAATCTGTCTGCATTTAACCCATTCACTCAGTGAAGCAGTGTGCAGCCGCTAATCAGGTGTCCAGGGAGCCGTGTGTAGGGACAGTACCTTGCTCAGGGGGTGCTTCTGGGTAGCCGCTCAGTGGATTTGAACCCCGACCTTTCAATTATGGGGCGACCACTCTACCTACTGAGCACAACATAGCCTGATATGGGGTCACAAGTTTTTCGCTCCTGGAACAGTACATGCTACATTTTGACATTTTTTTTTTTTACCATATATTTTTGCAATTTCACCCTTGGATTTGAACTGAAACAGTGAAGGGGATCAACAGATGTATAATATTAATTAAGAATTGTAGGCATTTTTATTCACAGTCCTCCATTTTCAGAGGCTTAAAGCAACTGAACAATTGAGTGAGAGCAGTTTCATGGCCAAGTGAGGCCTGTTCCTGGTATTACGTGACAAATAAGCAGTTTAATGTCTAACTTGTATTAGAGAAGACAGAAGATTTTTTAAAAAGTGGATGATTGCAGAATATTTTCCCTCACATCTTGAGGAGAAACGTGTATCATTCTCAAACTCGACAATCAAGAGAAACGTTCATGAATGGGAATGCAGAGTTTACTGAAGGCGGCTGCAGTGAAAGAAGAGGATCTCAGGAAAGAAATTCTTTTTGTTGTGACTTTTATGGAGTAAATTACAAAAATGAACAGGAACGACTAGAAAAAGTGTCTTCCAGATTTATGAGACAGACCATCTGCCCATTCCCAGCACGATCCCTCAGGAGGCCAGCTTTTTTTTATGGTCAACCATAATAAAGCTCCAGTTATTTTAATCTGTGAACAGATTAAACAGCAATTTTATAATGACTGTATTTTCTAAGTAAACCCACGATTGTTTTGCTTTCGATGCCCTCCAGGAATGTCTCTAATACTGTGGTCAGAAATTTACATACACTCATTATGGCCAGATTGAGTGTACATAAACCACAACTATATGAACACACGGAAATTTTGAATGAAAAGGATACGCTTTAATTGCAGTGTGTTTTTGAACAAATGACATTGCTCATTGGGCACATGTGGACTCTCACGGTCTAAAACTGAATCTGCCTGCACTCTGACAGTATAAACACTAGGGAGAGTAGATGTCCAATAGCTGACTTTTGAGATTTGTTGTGTTATGGAAAAATTCTAGTTTATCCTCACATTTAGATTTATGTGTTTAGAATCTTACTGTATGATTTTTGTATATCTGCCTGCTTAAGATGTTTGTTTTTTTTTCCCCCTCTTTATTTATAAAGTTTTGCACATGTAATTTGACATATCAGGCCCAATACAGCAAGTACCAACCGATATAAAGACATATATCAAAACAAATTAGGCCATTAAAATTCGGATGATAACAATAAAACAGAAAAAAGAAAGAAAAAAAAGGAAAAAAGGAAGAAAAACAAAAAAAACAACAACCCACGCACAGAAAACAACAAAAAAACAAACAAACAAAAAAATAATAATTTAAAAAAATGAACTCCCTCCCAAAACCATAACAAAAGGGAACCCTGTGGTACAAAAGTTTAGTCTGTTGTAAGTGTTTTCAATGAGTTAAAGTAAATGATAAAAGGCTGCCACATCTGTGAGAACTTATTGAATCTGTTATGTTTTGATGTGTGTGTGTGACCTCCTGCGTGCAGTAATAAATAGCTTGATCACAGCTCCTACTGTGTTGCAGACTTTATTTACAAAGTTCCACGACAGCTGGAGCAGGAGATTCAAATGAATAAATAATATCAATAAATCTGCAGGAAGTGTGTGATGTTATCATGTCAATATGGATAAAAAATCTAATGTTTTCAGCACCTTTTTGAATCTATGCAATGAAAAACGTGATACAATAAATATATTCCAACTCAGTACAGTGTGCATAACTGTGTTCACTGAATGTATATATGTAACGGCAACCTTTGGTCCTTCTTTGCCGCTTTTGCAGGATGTAAAGTTTCTGACTCGTGCTCTTGTTAAGTCGCTTGGATGCCTTCTGGTAGCAAAAACAAGGCGAAGGAAAAAAGGGGCAAAACATTTATTTTCCATACAAATCGAAAGGTACAAAACAAATGCCTCTGGTGGGAGCTCCGTTTACATTCCCTCTATGTTACAACAAAAAATAACATTAAAACGGCGACGGTCAGAAAACTGTTGCTCCACGTCCTGCTTGCTTACCTAACCTTTTTTACCCACACCCCTCCGCATGCGGGCCAAATACACACCTCCTATACAACATCTATCAACACTTTACAACAACAACAGACTAACAAAGCAGGATTAATTTATGGAGCACAGCCTATTACATTATAACATAAAGTGATCAAGATTATAATAGAAACTTAAAGATCATGACAAATACTTGAATATGGCATGATGTAACTGAGTAAAATATTGGCCTGGACTTGGCTCCAACACTATATATGTGTGCACATATGCAACCTGTCACCATCCGAGTGACGAGTTACTGTCATTGCTGATTGTAGCGGGTGCCCACTACTGTAGAGTCATTTGGCTGGAGAATAAGTAGCAACCGTGCTGTCCAGTGTAGCGAGTGATGTATTCACCATTTTTGTGACCAAACAATATTTACAAAAATAAATAAGAAAGTCAACTTCATAGTTAACTCAGTAAAAATAAACATAACTGAACTTAAATCAGCAGAAATTATGGTCACATGCACACAGCTATACTGACCTGGTCCTTTCTCCCACTAACACCAGAGTTCTTCTGCTTAAATAGTCAGCTATCCAAACAATTTCTCCTCTGAACTATTCCATGCAGTAGGTAAGACAAATATTACCATTCTCATAAACGTATAATGCTACTCTTTATTAGCTATAAAAACTAAGGTGTAGTCAATACATATCACAACAATAAATCCATTTCTCAACAAATATAGAGGCAAATTACAAGACTTTATCAAATTACAAGAATTCTCCCCCTTCTTGACCTGGTCTCTTCCTGTGATCTCAGACTAACCTGGAAGCTATAAATACGGGAATTGAAACTACATTTCCTCCTATTGTTCCTGGCACACAGGTAGGTTAGGTGAGTTCAAACTAGACAATTAACAAACTTGTCCGAGTTGATTTAAACCAAGATGTTACATTAAATAATCTGTAACAGTGCGAAACATAAACAAACCCGGGATAGTACACGTTTGCCTACTACAGAATACATATGAGGTATGGCTAAATCAACGCAAGAATGTTAACTAAGAAGGTGTTCTCACCCACTTTGTCACACAAACATTATAAAGGAGGTCATGATAGCTAGCATATTAATGATCGTGAAACTGACCTCACGGCCCATTATTAGTCAGTGGTGCTAGTTTCAGTCATTATGCAAATGTACTGGTTATAAGGTTGGGGAAACCTGCAGTCGAGCTGAGACTAAACAAGTAATTGGATGAGCGACAAAATGTTTCTTGCACTGAAAACGCTATGTCCAGATGAACAGAATCAGCTTTGGGGGATTATAAAGAATCGTACGGCAGAAATAAACAGGCATTATGCTGTTACTCATGTCTTCTCAAACAAAATTACTTTAATTTAAAAAAAAAAAATGTGGTCATCATTCTCAGCTGATTTGAATAGATGGAACATCCTTGATGTTATCTGTTTCCATAATCGATGTGGAAAAGCTGCAGAGGTGTTGCTTGGTGAGTGATCTTTAATCTACATGTTTAAGTGGTGGTGTGTCTCTTACACTTCCTGTTACCCAAAAAGGCAACTCACTATAATAGATCTGTTAAGACTGCCCTTTGTATCAGCGTGACAAAGCATTAAGTATTCAGTTAACTTTCTAGAGCGACAGCCGAAGGACATCATCACATCCAGAGTGAAATCAACATGAAGGCCACAGTGGGACTGCTGCTTCTGCTGCTCACGGTTTATTACTGCGATGCTACACGTAAGTCAACCAGTCTGCTTTTAACTGGGGATAAATGCCCTCTTGAATGTTTTTATTAAATTTTTATCTCATTTTATTAGCAATCATCATAACTTAAATGAGTTACAAGTTAAAAACTTTTACTGATTACTGTGAATGAACTTCACATTACGTGGGTGAGGTTATTACAAAACTTCAAAAGGGCGATGCGTTATTTTAAAAATTCATTTTCAAATGTTTTGAGTTTGATGACAAAACACGTTAAAATGTTGCAAAGACAAACTTTTGCTTTTATCACATACATGATGTGAGGTTATGTATGTGTTTACTTTATGACCGTTTGATCCAGATAATAAAAATAAGCTGTGGCGTGTTTAGAAACGAGGTGATAGTTTG